TGGTTGGAAATAGCAGAGCGTAAACAATGTTTAAGACACTCGTCGCTCCATCTCTCCACTCTCCACTCTCCCAAGTTCCTAATATATGTTAGGGTTGTGTTTCTTTAACCAGGGGTGTCCCAGAATTAATTGAGTATTAGGTGACTCAAAAACAATGAAATTGATTGTCTCATGGTGGTTGCCAGAGATTATTAAATGCAGATCTGAGGTTTTGAGGCAGATCTTGGCCAAAGTTTTGCCTGTGACTCCTGCTATCAATAAAGGGGAAAGTTATTGAGTAGGATGGAATAATTATTTGACCAGATTCAAAGTGATTAGATTTAGCTCAGTGCCTGAATCAACCAGCGCTGAAACCGGAAAGCGATTCTGATTATTTTGTACCATACCATACCATACCACTTTATTTATAGAGCACTTAAAACAGCGACAAGGCCAACCAAAGTGCAGTACAGACAGAACAACAGGTAACACACAAAGCAAAATACAAAATGAGGTAAATCAAAATATAGACATAAAAACAATGCAGATAATGACGACTAACCAGTGTGAAGCATACAGGATCAAAACACAGATCATCTGGTGTTGAAAGCTACTGAATAGTAGTGAGTTTTTCAACAGGACTTGAAAACCGAGAGGGAGGGGGCCTGTCTGACAAGCAGAGGTAACTCGTTCCAGAGTCTTGGTCCTGCTACAGAGAAGGCCCTGTCACCTCTGCGCTTAAGACGAGTTCCTGGAACTGTGAGGAGCAACTGGTCCGCTGACCCCAGGGAACGCGGTGGGACATACGGTTGTAGCAGATCAGAGAGATGGGGAAACACTGAGATTTTGTATTATAGTGGGTAAGGTTAGTTTGCAAAGGGAAGCAAGAGGTAGTGCCCACCAGTATTTCTCTTTACTGGCAGGCACCCTCGTTTCCCCAAAAGTGCAATGAGCTATATAATGTTCAATCTTGCCACAATATATACATGCATTGGAGTTTTTATGTCGTTGTTTTTCTTCAGGAGTTAATCGGATGTGGTCCACCTACATTGTCTCAGGTTCAGGTAGAGCAGGAAGGTGCGTTACAGGACTCACAGGAGCAGAAGCAAATAATCTCTGGGGTTTGTAGTTCTATGACATGAATTTGTAGACGTGTGACCCACCTGGTGACGTCGTGAATCTGGAAGTTGAGGCCCTCTGGGAGTTGTGGTCCCATTCCCTTCTGCACTCTCGGAAGCATTCATCAATGGAAACGGTAAAGTTTATGAGTGCATCAAAACTCTGTGTGTACTGTTTGTTTGAATAGGGGGAGGGGCTTAAAACTTGTACTGCAAACAGCCTGCAGGTAAACTTGGTCCTGTTGCAACTTCAACTTCCAGTCTCTAGTCCAAGGTCTTGCATTTAACAACCCCATTGTCTTGTTTCAAAAGGGAAGCAAGACTTCAGCTGAGGGCAAACCTCAGCTAACACGGGAGTTTGTGTGTCTGTGTACACGTGTGTGGTGTGTTTTTTTTCCCCTTGGAATTCATAGTTTCTTGTTTATTGCAGTTTTATTATTATTTTTTGTTTGTTCCAGTACCATAGTTTCTAGCTCTTTGGTTGTCCTGTCCCCCCCCCCCCCCCCCCCGCACCCCCTCCATACACACACCTGTAATTCATCAGTAATCATTTAAATCATAAAAAAATAAATTCAAACAACCCTGCCTTCCTTGGGTTCTTAAACCATAAATGTTTAAATAATAGTTTTATAATGAATACAGTTTTTTTTATTACCCCAATCCTGAAAAGTTTGGCATTGTATAAAACATGAGTAAAATAGATTGCAATATTTTGCTAATTTCATCAGCTCATTTTATCCACAATATGACATACTGAACATTTCAATTTTTCAAATCTAAGAAATTGTACAAATTTTATGAAAAATGTTATTTTGAAATTTTACAGAAGCAACAGGTCTGAAAAAGTTGGGATGAGGTAAAAAAAAAGTCTGTAAAAATAAATGATACAATAAACAGCTGAAAGAGCAATTTGCAACTAAACAGATGAATTGACAGGTCAGTAAAAAGAACAAGTATAAAAAAGATTGTTTTAGAGACACTGAATTTTTCAAAATAAAGAACAAACTGTGTCGAAAAGAGTGAAACAATTTCAGAACAAAGTTTTAAACAAAGAATTGTGAAGATCTGGAACCTTCCATAATCTATATTCAATAATATGATACGAAATTAGAAGAATCTGTAGAAATCTCTGCTCAAAAGGCTGAAATGTTACAGTAGATGGTTGTGATCTCTGGGGTCCTCAGGGGCCATGCCATTAAAACCAGATCTGGTTGGTCTTGTTCTGTTCTGGACTCAGGGACACTTCCACAGATCATTGTCTGTAAACACAGTTCATCCACAAACGCTGCTTAAAGCTCTATCAGTTAGAGAAGAAGCCTGATGTGGACACCATCCAGAACCGCTACCGTCTTCTCTGGACCAAAGACCATTTCAAACGGACTGAGGCAAAGTCCAGAACTGTTCTGAGGTCAGACAAATCTAAATTTTAAATTCTAGTTCTAAAGAGGAGAGGGTCAATCCAGCTTGTCTGCACACAGTTTAAAAGCCTGCCTTTCTGATGGTGTAGGGGTGCATTCCTACCTCTGGCAGGGACAGTTCACACATCTGGAAAGGCTCCATCAATGCAGAACAGTATATACTGGTTTTAGAACAACATCTACTCCAATCCAGTAAATAATAAATAAATAAATTTAAAAAATACAGCAAAGACGATCCAGGACTGAAAAAGAGCTGGAATCCTGCATTAGACAATACCGGGACAACAAGTCCTTCCAAAAACCCAGGCAACTTCAGATCCTGTCCAGACCATTTTGAAATTTGTTGCTACCATAAAATTTGACATGACTTTAGTTTCAACAAGTGTTATGACTGAAACGAAATCTCTACAATGAGCACAAGCTGGAACAGACAAAACAGCTGCTGACAGATGTTATGGATTTCCATATATCTTTATTTGTTATTTTACATATATTTCTATATTTTCATTTTATACACGTTTCTTGGTATAGATTATTTTTATTTTTGACAAACACAGATCTCACTTCAGAGAGAGAGAGAGAGAGAGAGAGAGAGAGAGAGAGAGAGAGAGAGAGGCAAGAGGGTTTTTAGTTTCCTCAAGAGATATTTTGGCATTTAACAAGACAGCACATCACTGACACACATACACACACCCATACGCAGTGGAAGTATATTGTTTTGTACACACATACCACAACTAGCACACATAAAGGGGCCTCTGACAATCACACGAGTACTTTTCATGCACACAAACACACACCGTCACACACCCAAAGAAAGGAGAAGCAGGTATTCATATGAGAAATCGACACCAATACCAAGACGGACCAGGAAATACACACGTGGAGGTACAGTGCTCGTCATTTTAGGTCCTGTTTCTACACACACGCACACACACTCTCAGAAACACACAGGCACACATGTTTTTGGTAGAAAGTAAAAAGCCATTTGTCTTTTAGACCAGAGGTCTGCAACCTTTTTGAACAAAAGAGCCATTTCTGTCCCTTCGCTCACTAAGTAAAACACATCTGGAGCCACAAAACCTGATACAACCGTGATTATCAACTGATGGCCCATGGGCCACTGAGTTTGTTGATGGGGGGCTTTTCTGGCCAGTGGGGGCGACATTATAAAACTAAAATTATATCAAGAGTTTTAACATTTATTGATATTTTTACATTTTAAGTAAAAATAATGTTCATATAATATAAAGAAAGAAAATAATTATTTGAATTATTATAATTCTAATGATTTTGATAAAAATGAAAACACTGAACTCTGCAGGCCTATGTGAGGAAAAATAAATATCAGTGGGGTTTGCGGTAGCTTGGTGGCCAGTGTGGCGGTCTTGTAATCCTGAGGTTGCAGGTTGGAGACCAGGCTGTGTCAGGATGGGCATCCGGTATTAAAAAAAAATTGCCAAATCTTTTATGCGAGTGGTGACCCCTGAAGAAGGGAGTAGCCGAAAGAAACTTACTTCAACAATTTCCTGCGAGATCAATAAAGTTCTTATTTTATCTTACTAGTAGTTATCAGGCAAAAATTTGACGATAAAACTGCCAAAACTAGTCTTTTCTGATGTGGGTATAAAAATCAATACAATTAAATTCCATTAAGTTTTGGTCAAAGCTTCAAAGAGCCGCCGATGAGGGACTAAAGAGCCACATGAGGCCCCAGAGCCGCAGATTGCAGATCCCTGTTTTAGACTGTGACACTGTTAATGCTATTAGCTCAGATCCATATTTGGCTTCCATCACTTACAGACTGCAGGACCACATGGGTGCAGAACGTCACCTGGACTAAACAAGCACCCCCCCACCGGCACTGTGTCATGTGACGGCATGAATGAGTAAATGACCTCACGGGTACGTGAAAAAAATAAACACGTTTACCTTATATTGCAGTTACAGAATGAATACACGCGGTTAGATCCTTTGTCAGCATTTCATTTTCTTCTGGATATTCTAACAGTCTATGCTTCACACGCACACACGCACACACACGTCTCTTCACAGTGTTGGGACCTCATTGCAAATCTTAGTAATTTGGGATGACATCTGATGAACACAGGCTGACAGCCAACACAACATGACGACATGAATAATATTAAAACAGCTTAAATAACGAGCAGAACAGACCGGATATATTTGGCTTCAGTAACAGACGAACCATACCTGAAGTGAATGCATAACTTAACAGTATAATATGTAAAATACACCCAAGGATAGCAAAAGTGGAATGTAACGTAAATATCTGAATATCACCGAGTTATACTTTGTGTACAAACAATTCGTCAGCTGGTCACTCATGAAACTCTGTTGTAGGGTAAATACCACAGAAATAACCTCAAACAGAACCAGCACATGGACCCAAACAAAGCAAAAACAAAGCTGCTGCCACCTGGCTCCGACTAATTCCATTATTAAAAGAGACTGAGTGAGTCATGGTGATGAGCCAAAGACGGTAAAAATTAGCCCCCTTGTCCTGTGGATTCTCAGTGTGTCCAGGAGAGGGCGTCCCAGGGAGTTAGACGGGGCCCTTCCTGTGGTCAGGGTTTGGTCAGATTGCATTGGTCACAATGTAGTCTCTGTGGTTTTCACTGCTGGGCTCAGGAGTGATGCTTTTCAACAGACGCTGTGAAGGGAAAGAGAAAAGAAAAACAAGATGAAACAATTTGGTGACAATAAGAACAAATTCACCTCCAGATGCAGGAAGAAGGCCACCTGCATCATGAAGGACCACGCTCACCCAGCACACACACTTTTTGCCCCGCTCCCCTCAGGCAGAAGGTTGAGGAACATTAAGTGCAGAACCACTAGGCTGAGGAACAGCTTCTACCCTGAAGCTGTTAAGACTCATGAACCCCTAGTCAGGATTATCACTGAAAATCACTGTGAAAAATCACTGTAATGCCACTTGATTGTTGATATGTGCTGTTGACTATCCATGATGCTGATCTCATGATGCTGATTTACTTCATGTTGTTGTGTTCATTCGTCCTCATCTGCTCACACAGACTCATGTTCATGCTACTGTTGTTTGGCGCATTGTTTTGTACTATTAGTGCTTTGTGTATTCTTAGTTTAGCATATTTCTTAGTTTATGTCTTGGATCTTACTACTGTTTTTCTTTGCAATTTGTATTTTTGTTGGATGTAACTGGGACCCTGTGTACATAGTTTCGTTCCACCTCATGTACCACATGTGATGTGAATGACAATAAAGAACCTTGGATCCTTGAAATTCTCAATTAGAGAGCTTTTGTTTTGAGCCTGATCTTCCTCTTCCTCCTTCTCAAATGTACACTACAAACAGTCTCCTGTTTGTTGACTTGTGTCGTTGCCATTGTGCCTTTTGGCAGGAGAGTCAATATTGGAACACAGCCAGAGAAAATCTGTCCGCCAGCCTCTTTGATGTCCTCCTCCCCATCAGTCAACCCTCACCCAGGTTTGAATAAGACGTTCACAATAGTGACGATGAAAACATTTGTATTTGTTCAAAAAGGTGCTGAACAATGAACAAAAGAGCAAACAGTTTCATTAGGAGCCCCACTGTAACAACAATCTGACTGGACTGAGTTTGATGCTAACGAACGGATTATGGCCTCCTACGGTTTTTAACCTTTATCTCCAAGAGACCGTCTGCACACTGACAGCAGAATGTGGACGTCTGCTCGAGTGCGTAGGCCTACACAGATGCTGTTTTTCCTCTCTAATCTCTGGCCTGTGTCTCCTCCTGTTCTCCTTTGATCCTGATATCCAGTCACATGCTCACAGGAGAGGGTAGACTGACGGGGCCAGGAAAAAGGCAAGATCCAAAAGCAGTCGCTGCTGTTGGAGGTGCATCAGTAAGTGAACTAAACAGAAGGATAGAGGAATGAGAGTAGAGAAGGGATAACGGGGGAAAATGAAAGAAAACATTTGTACCTGCTTGAATGTGCCCTTTGCATTAAGCAAGTGGTAGACCATGTAAGCAGGCACGCAGATGAACGACGACACGCCGATGCAGTAGCCCAGGACGGTGGTCCACAACGGGTAGTGGTAGTTGAACAGCTTGACCTCCGGAGGGAAAGCCAGGAAACTAATGATGATGAACTGTGTGCAAGAGTAGGAGTAAAACAAAAAGGTAAAATTTCTCAAAGCTGGTCGTTGATGTGGCATTCCACGGTACTTATGTGTCAATCTCGTGTGAGACTGACCAGAAGAAAGCAAGGGCAGATGGCCACCCAGCAGACCCTCCAGAAGCAACCTGGGTAGAAACCGAGCATGACCTGGACGTCATTACAGAAGCGGTTGGTACCTAAACACACACACAATCCAGGCAAAGTCAAAACACAGGAGAGCTTTTTCAAAATGTTTCAGTCAAAAAAAACAAAAAACAAAAAAAACAGACAACAGACCATGAGCTTTTTGTCTCTTTAGCAAGTTATCCTCACTACTATTCTAGGTTTCCACCATCACAATTGTCTTCATCATCTTTACTGACCGTAGAACCATGAAACGGCGATGACTTCTAGCAGCACCACAGTGATGACCGCAGGGCCCGTAGCGTACTCCTCAAATAGCTTCACAACAAACGCTCCACCCTGAAACACAACACAGACACACAATAAGGTTCTCCATGGAAAATGTTAACCTCACTACTAAAATGGTATGGTATGGTATAAAGTTTATTCATTTTAAAAATACAAAACAGTTTCATAACTATATATAAAAAAAATACAAGAGATTTAAAATGAAAGGCAGCAGAAAGAAGAAAAAATCTTATTATATCTGCCCCTTTTTTCAAACAATTAGTTCAATCATAATAATTTTCAAGTAACAGAACAAAATGAATAACTCTTTCTAATTTTACTCATTCTAATATAAAAAACACACTAAGCTACTTCATAAATATATTTATTTAACAATTCAGCTTTGATTTTTTTCTTAAATGTACACATTGACTTGACATTTTTCACATCACTCTCTAGAACATTCCACAATCCAACTCCTTGGATTGAGGTAGACCTTCCCTTCAGACTAGTTCTGAATTTTGGTTTGACAAATATCTCTATCCCCTTAAGATTATAACAACTTTGTCTTTTAACAAAATTTCTTTGGATATTTAATGGTAATGTGTTATTTTGAGCCCTATACATAACTGATAAAATACTATAATCTACCAAATCATGGAACTTCAATAACTTCAGTTGATAAAATAATGTACTTGATGTACTTGAAAATGAGTGTTTATTGAAGCTGAAACTCGTCAGGATCAGAAATGAACAGATTACTATCTCTGTGAAGATCTGATTTCATTTAATTGTAAAATTCTGGCACATCACAGCATGCCATTGTCAACTACGTGGAATTTAAAAGTTTTAAATAGGATTTATCCTTTAACTTACATCCTAACCATTTTGATCTCTGTGACACCTCAAAAACAAGATTGTCTCACAACGAAGATAAGAAACTGGTTCTTAGTGTCCTGTAAACTGGACTACTGTAACACCATCCTAACTGGTGTCCATGCATAGCCATGAAAACGTTACAGCTGGTTCTGAAAGCTGCTGCCCAAGTTTAAATTTGTTCCACAAAGCAATATCCCATTTCTCCTGTCTTGGCCTCCAAAACACAGAGTGCTTGTCAGGTTTAGGATTACCTCAAAAATGCTGCTAATGATGTTCAAAGCCTGGTCAAGCCCAGTCATCACCCTGTTGGTTGGTTCTCAAACTATCTCTCTGATTGAAGGCAATGTGTTTAACACAACGGTACTTCATCTAGCTACCTAACGTCACTAATGGTGTGCCACAAGGCTCAATTTTAGGTCCCACTCTTTTTACAATTTATATAAACAATGTAGGTCAGAACATTCCTGATGCATCCTTGCCTCTCTATGCCAATGACACTGTTGTTTATTGCCAAGCTAACACAGTTGCCAAGGTTTTCCAGCTTCTACAGTCTGCATTTGACATAATTTACTCACACTTGTTCTATTTCAAGCTGATGCTAAATGCTGACAAAACAAAAGGGATGCAGTTTTCAAACAGAAAGTCGGTGCCAGCAACTCTTCCTCCTGTCTCATCCATGCAACCAAAGTCGAAGAGTAATCTACTGCATGGTGGTCAAGGTCAAGGCCACCGTTGACCCCCCCCCCCCCCCGGCTCCTCCACCGGACGTGGTGGTTGCATAAAGTTGCATCCTCCACTCTCCAGGATCCGTCACTCTGCACTGCTTCAACCAAGTAAAAACAAAACTCTCTGTTCTTCTCCACGGTGTAACTTCTACCCACTTGAGTATCTTGCACCAAAAACATTAAGGTTTACTTTTATTCCCTGTTCAGTTCCAGTCCAGAAAAACACTCATCTCCAAAACTACAAACATTCACTGTTATAATCCATCAGTGGCGAGGACAGCAGTGTACCACTTGCCTGAATCTAGCTTTTACTTGGTTTGCTTCTTTTCTTATATTTTATTTGACTGCTCTTTAATTGTTTTTAAATTTGATTTTTTTTTTTCTCTGTAAATCGTAAATTGTAATTCTGTAAAGCCCTCTGGGTTGCCTTGTGCTTGAGAAATCTTACACAAATGAAGATTGGTTGATAAGAAACAAAGATGCATATTAAAGGCATATTAAAGGTATTTTTGATCTTTAAATTTAAAACATTCCTTCAGTAGACAAGTGCGGAACATGCAGACTGAAATAAGACACTGTCAATCCCAGCTTTATTATATAGTGCTTGTTTTATATATACACTGTGAGTAATCTGTTAAAATATCTTACATAGGTGAGGGTAGACAGAGCCCCGAGGTAGCAGACACACACAAGGCCAAAGACAAACCACTCTCGCCTCTTAACCAGGATATGAGGGAACTCATCCAGCATGGCTGTGATCACCCCCTCCAAGCCTGCAAACTGTGGGGAGAAAAACACCAAGAGTGAGAAAAAGGAGATTAAAACCAAGATTATAGGGGCGAAGAATGAAAAGAAGGTAGAGAGGTCACATATACACATACAGGGAGTATATTCTTGATGCCTTTGACCAAACAAGATGAAATTTTAAACCAGTCCAACAACAAATTTAAATACACTGAGGCGTTCTGGAGTAATATCCTCAGTCATAAAAATCGAGAAGCACAACAACCCCGATGCTGATTCTAAAATGATTATCAGCATGTGATAAGAGCATTACGTGTTCTCGGTTGGCTGTCTCGGAGCAGATAAACAAAGGCATCTGCAGACGACCACACAAAACAAAGATATGAAACTCTGATCACATTGTTCTCATTGACTGGTATTCAATAGAGAAGAAGACAGGACAAATAACAGCCAGCACTTTAATGGAAAAAGGAGCATGGCAAGCAAACGCGAGGCGAAGGGCACAAAGTGTCTGCAGGGAAAGGCAAACAGGGCATCTTTGTTTCTAGGTTGGATGAAACGCACACGAGTTAAGAAGTGTGCAGCAACAGAATTAGGTAGATAAGAAACAAGGAGAGAGTTCCAGGGAGTAATCAGCAGACTGACCGTGCTATCCAGACCCAACATTATGATCATTAGGAAAAAGATGATGGCAAAGAACGTGGCGGCAGGCATGTTTGCTATGGCTTCTGCATAAATGATGAACAACAGACTGGGGCCTGGAAGGAAATAAGAGAGGCAGGTCAACACACACGGTTTTCATTTGAACCCAATCGACAACTTAAACATGAGTGAATCTTAAAGACAAATGCGATTTGATTTCTGGTGCTTATTGCACATTAAAGCAGACTGAGGAGAAGTTATTTGCAGCAAAGAGAATCTGAATGCAAAACCTCTTGTAGACTGTGTTTTACCTGCATCCTTGGCCACAGCATCCACACTTTGGTGCCTCATCTCAGCCATATAACCCAGCACGGTGAAGATGACGAAGCCCGACAGGAAGCTGGTCAGACAGTTCACTGAGCTGGTGACCAACGCATCTCTACAAGAAAAAAATAGTACGAGGGGCAGAACAAAAGGGAACTTTAGATATTTTTCATACAAAAGCTGTTTTTTCATTCATTAAGCCTTTTTTATACAGGTTAGTCTCATTCAGTCACGAGGACTTATTTACAAGAGAGACATGTTTTAAACAAAATCCATAAATGAGGCACACACAACAATAAACACTAAAAGATAAAAGCATATAAAATGAAAAGTATATAAAAGAAGTGATATAAAACAAAATAAAAAAAACATGCTAGATTATAAAACGGTGTAAGATATTAAAAACAGGGACATGTCTGCATTGATTTTTGCATTGAACTTAAAAGTAGTTTAAAATCTCTTAGAGAGGTCAAAGTTGACAACATCAGATCTTTTTGCAAGGAGTTCCAGGATACAGGAGCAGAGTAGGAGAAGGCCCTTTTGGCAAATTTGGTCCACACTGATGGGACGCTGCAGGTAATGATGTTTTGAGAGCGCACGCTGCAGCTGCACTGATCATGTGACATGTAGGAGATGTATGAAGGCAACAGATCAAGAAGTGATTTAAAGATGAAAATGTACCAGTGTGAGAGTCTACATGATTCATTCAACCTTTATTTTAGCAGGTTAGTCCCATTGAGCCATGAGGACTCATTTACAATAGAGACCTGGATGTGACTGGATGTGATGTTAATGATGTCCAGTTAAAGAGAGATGCAAAACAACCAAGATACCCAAGTATTTGTAAGAATCTACAAACTCAATAGGGACACCATGCATGGATGAGACGGGAGGAAGAATTGCTGGGACCGACTTCCTGTTTGAAAACAACATCTCTTTGGTTTTAATCAGCATTTAGCACCAGTTTGAGACAGAACAAATCTGACTGGATGAGGTCAAAAGCAGACTACAAGAGCTGAAAAACCTTATCAACTGTTTTAGCTCGACAATAAACGACTATGTCATCGGCATAGAAATGCAAGGATGCATCAGAAATGATCTGACCTACATTACTTATGTAGACTGTGAAGAGGGTGGGTCTTAAGACTGAGTCTTGTGGTACACCATTGTTGACAGTTAAATAGCTGGAAGAAGTACCATTATGTTGAACACATTGCCTTCGATCTGAAAGGTAATTAGAAAACCAACCAATGGTGTGTTCTGAGAAACCAATTTCTGAGAGCTTATGACATTAGATGTTATGATCCACAGTGTCAAAAGCTTTAGACAGGTCTAAGAAAAGTGCAGCACAATAATCCTTAGCATCCAGTGCTTCATTGATGTAATTAAAAACCTTCAGTGAAGCAGTCGTTGTGCTGTGTTGTTTCCTGAAACCAGATTGATGTGGAGGAAAGATGTTAAAATAATCCAAATACTTCTTGACTTGAGAGTTAATCAGTTTTTCTAAAACCTTGGCTAAAATACAGAGTTTAGAGATTGGCCGATAGTTGTTCAGTATAGTGGAGTCTCCTCCCTTCTCTATAGGTAAAACAAAAGCTATTTGCCAGGCATTTGGAACAGTTTTATGGCTTATGGACAGATTAAAGATGTGGGATACCAGTTCTGCAAGGATTTGTGCACATAGCTGTAAGAAATAATGAGGAAGGTCATCAGGCCCTGCAGATTTTCTCGTGTCCAGACCTTTTAACAGTTTATTAACCTCACTAAAAGAGAACAGTGAAAATGAGAAGGTGTGGTTTTCTGAGGACTGACTTGTAGAAGAAATTTGATTTGTGGAAGTTTGGTTTGAAGGAGAAGTAGTTGTTATTTTTTTAATTCCTGAAAGAAGTAGTGGATAATCTTGTTAAAATAAATATTTTAGAATACTTTATAGCAGAGTTTTGATTCTGTTGCAGGCAGATGTAAAGTTTGGAGTCTGCTCTTACTTGTAGCAGTTGTTGTGAAATGGGTTGTAGCTGGCGAAGGCAAGCAGCACGCCGAAGCCCGGACCCAACGAGAAGAAGATTTGAGCTGCTGCGTCGATCCACACCTGTGACGATATGAAAAGTCAGTGATGGTAATTAACAGGGAGACATAACGAAATTGTGATTGACACTCAGACAAAAAGGCGTTTGTGGGCAAGATCTACATGTGATTAGGTCAGTCTTACTGTGGTGCTGAGCAGCTTCTCCCAGTCAGGTTTGAGATAGAAGACAACGCCCCTCCAGGCCCCTGGCAGAGTGGCCCCACGGACGAGCAGTATCAGGAGGACCAGATAGGGAAACGTAGCTGTCACCCATACTACCTAACACGGACAAAAACAATAACCAAACAAATGGATAAACATCTCCCTTGATTTTGGCCTCTAAAGGGATTTTCAGGTAAATACTTGTCAATCATTAGGAGCTTATCAGCCTGACATCAGTCAAAGCAAAGTTTGGAGAAAAAAGGTCTTGGTTCCAGTTTATTTTTTTTTAATATAAATCTTATTTCAGCATTCTTTAACAACTACGTATTTCTTTAAAATGATATATCGGTGTGAAAGAACCTTACATTATCTAAAATAAACCTAAATCATTGTAATGTCACAGATTGTTTCGTTTGACGCTGTTTCCTCAACCAAATAACGTTTCGTTACCAATGTATGTCTGCCAAGCACAGACAGACTGCACCAATGGTGTCGAGTCTCCAAAAGTATGTCTGCCAGGAGTTGGGTAAACCTTTGGACTCATCAGGTGGACTGGTACATTCTCAGCACCTACGCTCAGAGCACACAGATGTGCTTAGTAACATGGACATTCCTCGGTTAAAAAAACATTGACAATCTAGACTGTTTGTGTCATGCAAAAGTGTGTAACATTACCGAATGAAGCATTCTTTCACTTTTACGTATGTCGTTGTTGAGAAACAGTTGTTATAAGCTTGAAATATGATAAACTACTTGCCCCATTAGCCTAGCCTGCAGACTCCAGTTCCTCCAAACTCTGTTTTGTGACTGATTTCACGCCTGTTAAGTAATGATAAATACTTGACAGAACATTATTTTAAAATGATTTTAATATGGACTAATATTGGATCATGGTCAAATCAGTATTGTATGTAATGTCTAGCGTCAACGCAGCCAAATTCTTGTTGGCTATGAACGATAACGATGGTGAAAAGATAACGAGTTTCCTCTGTTCGTTTCTCTTCATCATCCATCCATTCCCTCTAACTGACATCCCCATCAGCAACGTAGGCGGCTCATCAACTACCTTTCCAGACGTCTTGACTCCCTTCCAGATGCTGAAGTAGACTATGGTGAAGATGAAGAGCAAACAGAGGGCCAGTTGCCAACTGACAGAGCCCAGCTGGTGCAGACCCGGGGAGAGGTGGACCTGTAGCACCTGCCGACTGATGAGAGGACACAGGAGACGAGGTTGAGACGAGGAGCCAACAAGTGATTTTTGAAAGATTGAAGCAAAGGGGATAAAAAAGAAAGGGTGAAGGTAGGAAATGATAAGAAAGAAGGTGGGGAAAGGGAAGAGAAGTGATGAAGCAATACACCGATATCTCCCATCACTGAAGCATTAGAATAATGAATGTTTGTAGTTTTTGAGATGAGTGTTTTTCTGGACTGCAATCAAACTGGGAGTGAAAGTAAACCTTAATGTTTTGGTGCAAAATATTCAAGTGAGTAGAAGTTACATTGTGGAGATGAACAGAGGGAGGTTTTATTTTTTCTTGTTCACAGTGGCGTGTGGTGGGTGCAATTTTATTCACCACCAAGTGCAATGGAGGTGCCAGGGGGTGGCCAACAGTGGCCTTGACCACATAGATTAATTTTCAGCCACCCCAGTCATTTGAGGAAACAATATTTTTAATTAATATATAATCTAAAAAGTATAGTTCCCTGAAATGATGAGTAGTTTACGTATGGAGAGAGTGTACGTCCAATTACCCCTCTTCCCTCCACGGCAGGGGAAAAAAACAAAGAAGGAATAATGAAACTTAGCAGAAGCAACAAATGTCATAATAAATTAAAATCACGGCATGAGAACAAGAAACTGGTGGATGGGAAAAGGGCTTCATACGTCAAAGTTTAAGATAGGAAATACAAAAATAATTGTCAAACCAGCGCAGTGAGCAGATTAAATGAAAGTTCATCTGAGTACGATTCAAACTTCAGTGCAGTTCAGACTCTTTGGCAATCTCTACAGAAATGTTCTATCAACAAGCCATTAAAGGGAAAAAGGAGTTTGAAATGGACTGCAAGGTTGACGGCCGGTCACAGGTTAAGCATACAGAGCTCGGATGATAACAGAGGCATGATTCACGTAGAAAACAGGAAATTCTGGCGCCGTCTGATTTGAGGAATTTGTTACTTTTAGACCTGTGTTGCGTCTGCAGATCACGCGTGGATCTGCCTCATTTGAGGGGTTTGGAGACGGTGCAGCTGATCAGACAGACAAACTCCACTGTGTGAGGAAAACTCCATAAACTGACTTGAGATGACCACGGTTCCTAACCCTCAATAGTTATTGTAATTGGAGATGGCACCGAAAACAGCCCCAAGACCACTTTCTAAACGTTATCCGTTATCTTTGGCTCCCTCCTGTTTGCTCTCCCCCTACATCATCTCTACGTCCGACTTACATGCACTTACGTATAGAACTCCTCGGCTGGCGACGTGGACGAGTTGGACCAAGACACGTTGTGGTCGGAGGACATGTAGCGGTTACAGTTGGCCGTGTTCCAGCTGTTGCTGCAGGTGGTCCAGGGCAAGGTGGGCCGAAACGACGAGAGCAGGTAGTAGAGAGCCCAGGCCATGATGGTGTTGTAGTAGAAGGCGATGTAGAGGGCAATGATGCAGATGGCAAATCCTATTCCTGGATGAGTCGGAGGAAAACATGGTTAGCCCTTCCTTAATTACAGATGATTAACAGCAGTCAATCACAGCAGGTGGGGCTGAACGCTCATTCAAGTTCCCATTGCTTTTAAAGGGTGACATTTCTGAACAACAATCATTTCCATCCTATCAAATTTCCAAGCAGCTGGCATTTGGAATGGAAATGTGACGATTTCCATAACAGAGTGAGTACGTCCCACTCGATGTATGAGAAACTGTGAAACTAAGCTGAGAGGAGGCGAAAAGGTTAAACGAGCTGTCCATCAGGCTCTCCTTTGCTCCTGTTTGTACCTTTGAAGATGGGGCAGATGTGTTTCCAGATGGAGATGCAGCCGCTGCGGTGGAACTGGCCCAGGGCCAGCTCCATGTAGAACAGGGGCACACCTCCGAACACCGCCATCAACAGGTAAGGCAGCAAAAAGGCACCTGGGGAGGCAGAAAGGAAAAACAATATAAAAGTAATTTTAGGGCCATAGCATGGCAGACACTCCAGCTACAATAACACATCTCACTCAGCATCCTTTCTACCTGATTTTCAACTTTGTGTGTGTGTGACATGAGAGCAGAGATAAGGGCTGATTGAGCGGCTGCCTCGGAGACAGGTTATTAAACAAGAAGGAAAGAGAGCGAGGCCGCTCTCATAAAAACCCACAATTAATACTCGTGGCTGCATCAAACATCTCCCAGGCTCAATCTCCACTTCGCTTAGGCACACACACATGCACACACGCACGCACACACACACACACACACACACACACACACACACACACACAGGAAATTGCAAAGATTTTATTATTGCAAATTCAATAAAATTGCCACTAGGTGAAAGTTGTTCAGTCGCACAGCAGGCCCAAAACACAAACTCACCACCGTTATGAACTCGCTAATTCTAAGGTGACTACGAATAAAATTTATTGATTTGTATTTTTAACAATAGAAAAGTTAAAAAGTTAGTGTGCAATGATTTAGATGCTGTTTTAAAGGCAAATTCTTGAAATCCAACCAGTCGTAGCGTGGAAACTCAAATCCCCCGTTTTCCACCTTTCTAATCCCCCCCCCCCCCCCCCACACACACACACACCTTCTCCCACCTTTATCTCCTCCGAACATCTTTAAACACCTCACCTCCTCCGTTTTGGTAGCAGATGTACGGGAAGCGCCAGACGTTTCCCAGGTCCACAGCGTAGCCGATCACAGACAACAGGAAGTCCATCTTCTTGCTCCATGTCTCTCTGGGATGCTCCAAGCTGGTTTGCTGAACCACCAGAGTTCTTAGCCCCCCCAGTGGCACTGTAGACCCGGTCCCTCCTGGGGGCCCGGATGCTGCCCCCACAGCGGTTCCAGGTCCCTCCCTGGGGCTCTGCGGGGTGGATGTTGTAAAGCCGTTGGACACCTGCTGGCTGGAGCCCAAGGTCACGTTTTTGGGTCCTCTGTCGGCGATGCCATCCGCCAGCACCAGTCGACCATTTTCCCGCTGTGCTTCCTCCTCCTCCTCCCTACCTTTGTCCCTCTCTCCCCCATTCTCCCCTTTGTCCATTGTCAGCATGCTCGTCATCATCATGTCTTTTGTCTCCATGGAGTTGTGTTGACGTTGGCGTTGGCAGAGCGGTTAGGGCTGGAGGGGGGCTGTCAGTGAAGATGAAGGCGATGTGCTGCTGCAGTCCGATATGGTGCCCATGAGGGGAACAGAGGGGTGAGGAGGGTGAGGAAAGGGTGCAGAGACGGAGTGGGACAGCTTTGAGAAGTCTGTCCTTCTTGGACAGGTGGAGGAGAGAGGAAATGAGCCGCAGGGAGAGACGGAGGCCAGAATGAGGGGAGGGAGAGTGAAATATGAAAGGGTCTGTTGAGCAAGACAGGCAGAGGAGGGTTTTGGATTGGAGTGATGGGCCTGAACAGGACGTGATGAGCACAGAAGTTGCAGGAATCTTGGCTCTTCTCCACGAACTGCTCGTCCTCCGAGACCCTCAGAGATGGAGCAGACTGCAGCGCACACAGGGGGAAACAGTCAGGTCAGAGGGGACGAGACACCCTCAGCGGCAGGAATCCCTGCACCATGATGACACCAAATCTTTGTGAAACACGGGATTAGCTTTGTCTTACAGTTTCATCCTGAAAACACAGGTTAATCCTAAGAACTGAGGGATTGTGCTGGGACATGTTGATTTACACAACTCCTCATCTTTTCACTATCAGTTGTATAACCTGCGGAGCTTATCTGATGTGACCGTATGACAGGAAGAGCCTCAGAGGACAACCAGAACAAGACTGGATATAAACTTGTTCTAAAATGTCACTCAGACCTGTTATAATGCATTCTAAATTCACAAAAACTAATTTATTTATCATTAAAATGAACATGGAGAAGACGATGCATGACTATCTGTATTCAGAGTTGGCTATGTAGATTTTTAAAAACACTATTCTAACTTTTTAGCATGAGTTCAACCTACGATATTAGTTTAACTCAAGTTTAGATCATTTTTAGCTCTGTTAATTATGGATGCCAGAAAATGAGAAGCGCTATTAAATTTAATAAAGAGCAAGAGTTGAGCGCTATTAAAAGCACATTTTGTTCACATTCACGTGTTATGAGCTGAAAACTAAAACCCTGCAGCGAACCTGGGATCCAAAACAAAAACATCCCAATCAACCTTTTATTATTCAAATAAAAAACTGTTTTAAAACACTAAATTGTTTATCAGACTAATTTCTAATTTACATTTCGAGAAGCTTTTATGACTTCTTTGAAAGTCACACAACTTTATCTTTCAAATGACAGCAACTTCAAAATGTTAACATAAAGTTTGCTCATTTGTTTATAAAAAAGCACAAATAAAATTATATATATATATACATATGTACTTTGTTTAAATATGTTACCTGTTGTGGTAACTCATGAACAAAAAAGAAAAAAAAACTACTCATAAATATACTAAAATACCAGTCATGATGAAAAAAAGTCACATATTACAAGTAAAAACGTAAAAAGAAAGGAATAATATAAATGTCAAATCTGCATATTTCACATTTCGTACTTAAACAATCAACATAACATTTTATTTTTAACCTTTTCTTAACTTATATTTACCAGCAATAGAGAAAAATCCCATTTAAACACGATAAAATAACTTTTAACAAAGTGCTCTCACTCCTCTGAAGCTCTCGTATTTTTTCTTTAACTTTAAAAATTATCAGCTGGTGTGCTGACAAAAATAAAAAGCAAATGGGTGAAAAGCTTTAACTGCAGTTTTTCCTTCAAGCTTTAAGTGCAATAAATACCTGGAGGTGAAGGAGGACGAGGAGAACCGGTGCAAAGAGCAACAAGTTCTACCAAAGAGTCCTGAGCTTCAGCCAAAGCTCAGCAGGGGCAGCAGGCAGCGTGCACTCGCAGCAGGCAGCGTGCACTCGCTCCTCAGGACGTCGGGTTTGCCCATCCAGCTCTCAAACCCCTCTCACTTCTCCCTCACTCCCGCCTCCTCCCCGTTGTCCCTCTCTCTCTGACTTACAACACACACATCACACACACGCTCAGAGGCGTGCAGACGTATGGATGCATGGGTGCATGCTCTCAGACAGGAGACAATGAGGACCCATCCTGCAGGCTCAGACCTGCTCATCACTGTGTCAGCTCTGCAGGTAATCACCGGGCTCCAACACACTCTGGTCATGGCAGAGCTCCCGTCAAAGCACACTCCAACAGGGGAAGTCCAGATCTCAGGAAGGTGTCTGGTTCTGGATCAGGGTGCTGCTCACTACTTTAGTTTGGAACCCACACCAAGACTCCCCCTGGTTCTCCATTTGTTCCTCTCGTCCCAGCTCACCTGCTGCTCTTTGATCTTTATTCTGTTTTGTCCACACACACCTGCTCAGATCTTTGTATTTGCTGCTTCTCTTCAGCAGTTTAGACTCCCCAAACCTGCAGGAGTTTCTATCTCCAAGGCCGGTTCTTTGGGGGCAAATGTAGGCCTTTGTGAATAACAAGATGGTGGCTCTGGAAGAACAGCTGGATTCCTCCCACTCTGTGTGCTCATCTTTCTGTCTCCGAAGGAAAAAAATGATGGTCGGTGGAACCATACCCCTCCAGTTTGTTGCAGCAAGTTAGGAACTATTTGTCCGCTCTAATAACTGATTCAAAAACACAGTGTTGATGAGAAAAGAAAAGCTTTATGCAGGAGATCAAATTGCAGCTGATCACAACACAATTTTTTTTTTCAAAATAAAAGCCTTAAAGAAACACTTCTCTTATGCTGTATTTTATGGCTGAGACATGGAAGTCATTTTCTGCTGAGGGGGTGGTGGAGCCAGAGCTGTGTTCATCAAACCTTACCATACCATACCATACCACTTTATTTATAGAGCACTTAAACCAGCAACAAGGCCAAACAAAATGCTGTACAGCAGAACAAACAAACAAAGCAGACAGCAAAAAAAATCAAATAAAGTAAAATAAAAATATAGATACGAGTGGAAGAAGATAAGAGCTAAATGGCTAACATTGTAGAATACATACAGGTTAAGAACAAATCACACTGTGTCAGCGAGACTTAAAAACAGTTAGGGGACCTGCCTGAAATGCAGTGGCAACTCATTCCACAGTCTTGGACCTGCAACAGAGAGGACCCTGTCACCTTTGAGCTTATGACAGGTTCCTGGAACTGAAAGAAGCATCTGATTCACTGACCTCAGAGAACGCTATGGAACATATGGCTGCAGCAGATCAGTGAGATAAGAGGGGGCAGAAATGTTCAGGAATTTAAAAACATAGAAAACATTTTTGAACTGAATTCAAAAGTGAACCGGGAGCCAGTGCAGGGAGGCCAAAACTGGTGTAATGTGCTCTCTTTTGCCTGTACCGGTTAAAAATCGGGCTGTAGCATTTTGGACCAGTTGTAGATGTGCAATGGAGGTCTGACTGATTCCAAATAGAAGCGTGTTGCAGTAATCAAGCCTGGATGTTACAAACGCATGAATTATAGTCTCAAGGTTATTTTTGGACAGTATGTGCATGGGCTTCAGTTTAGACAGTCGCTTCATCTGAAAAAAAAAATAAAAAAATGATTTAACAATCATGTTTACGTGACTGTTAAGTTTCATGGAAGGGTCCATCATAACTCCCAGATCAGTGATTCTTTGTTTCTCTAATGGGGCTAGAGAGGAGAGGTCGATATTGTGGTTCTTGATCATGCCATTAGGAGGGAACAACATGACTTCAGTCTTCTTCTCATTAAAGTTTAAAAAATTTAAGGACATCCAGTTCCTGATGTCAGCCAGGCAGTCAAGAAGAGCTTGAATAGAACGTTCACCACTGTGCTTCAGAGGGAAGTAAATTTGACAGTCATTGGTGTAGAAATGAAAGGGTATGCTATGTTTACGGAAAATAGCACCTAGTGGCAGCAGTAGAGGACCGAGAATAAACCCTTGCGGTACCCCCCACAGAAGAGTTGCCGATGATGAACTAAAATCCTTAATGTTGACACAAAAGGTTCTGTCAGAGAGGTAGGATCTAAACCTTTTGAGGGCTGAACCTGTCATGAACCTTGACATGTTATGCATGACAGCATTCAGAGAATGAGTTAACATGACTCTCAGCTACTACCACGCATGTTTTTTCTCAAGATCTGTAAAATTATCAGCGTTGTAGCCATGTTCTTGCAGGTTAAGATTGTTCTCCTCAGTTTAGGCCACTGGTGAAAGAAATGCTGAGTGTCTTGCCTCGAAGAGTTCATTTAGCTCTTTAGGAGAGAGGTTCTTATTCTGGCAGTATTATAGAGATATCCAAACACCATGAGAGGCGCTAGCTGCTGCTGCTGTTAGAGCTTTAAATAAAAAGTAAAATTCTTTATAAACAAGTGGTGCTCCAAAGTTCTGCATGTCTGAGGGATGGTGACCTTGGCCACTATGAATTCAGCTTCAGCCACCCCAGTCATTTGAGGAAACTGTTAAGCAATAAAAAAAAACTTAAAAGCATAGTTTCCTCCAATGTTTGGGGTGTCCAAATATTAAATAACAAACAAACAAATAAATGAACAAACATGTTTGTAGCTCGCCCTACTCTTCCACTTGGGCGTTTCCACTTCAGGTCCAACTCATGTTATGTATTAGAGGCCCTGGTTCTTTTCAGTATCTTATCTAGGACTGGACTTGTTCTGGACAGAGATCTATGAGGTTGTTCCTGGGATCTGTTGGAGCCACTCGTCCAGTTTTGGGGTCACAGCAACAAGCAATGACCACTGGGACTACTGACACCTTGACTCTCCACAATTTCTGTATTTCCTCTTTCAGTCCTTGGTGTTTCTCCAGATTCTCGTGCTCCTTTTTCCTGATGTTAGTCACCTGGGATTGCTACATTTATCACCGCTGCCTTCTTGTCTTGCTTGTTCACCACAATGTCCGAGCATGTTTGTCAGTTTGGATCTGGAAGGCCCACAGGATCTCAGAACTTGGTGCCAAAGTTGTCAAAAGCTGGCTACGTAATATTTGTGGCTCTGGGGCCACATTTGGCCAGCAAAGTTAGCTCAGTCCAGCCTACTGATGAGTTAATTCATAATAAAACTACATTAAAAAAATTGTGAGAGA